TTCACCATATAGTGTAAGGAAGTGGACCAAGTCTGATCGTGGGCATGACCTCTAGAGTCTCTGGATGAATATCGTGGTGTAGAAATTAAGTTCCATGATTGCAGCTCTAATGTTAATGGTTAACATATTTAGCCTGTCCTTTTGAAGATCACGATTCCGATTATAAACTTTTCTTGCATTTGTTTTGTTGTTGCAGTTTCCTATACTGTACCAAGAAGGGGTTCAGAATATGCTCTTCAGCTGGCTTCGAATCCTTGGCTGGATGTTCAATGGGTTCATTAGTGCAATTATCGTCTTCTTCTTGTGCACAAATGCCCTAGAGCACCAGGCATTTAACGACGGTGGGAAAATTGTCGGGATCGAAATCTTAGGAGCGGCAATGTACACGTGTGTAGTTTGGGTTGTGAATTTGCAGGTGGCGCTCGCCATCAGCTACTTCACCCTAATACAGCACGTCTTCATCTGGGGATCCATCGCCAAATGGTATCTCTTCCTTTTGGTGTATGGAGCCTTACCGCCTAAACTATCCACCACTGCTTACAAAGTCTTTGTTGAAGCGCTTGCCCCTGCACCTTCCTTTTGGCTGGTCACAATCTTTGTGGCGATCTCAGCCCTGATCCCTTACTTTTCGTACTCAGCAATTCGGATGCGGTTCTTTCCCATGTACCATGGAATGATACAGTGGATAAGGCACGAAGGTCGAACGGACGATATGGAGTACTGCGACATGCTGCGGCAGAGATCATTGCGGCCAACAACAGTTGGTCACACTGCACGGTTAGCTGCAAAATCTAGGCGTGTGCAAGATGGAAATCATAGCAGATGACTAGCCGCTGTTACATAGTCCTGGGTAGATAAACGTTAGGATTTGGCAGATTTCAAATACAAAACTCGCCCACTGTAGATGAGTTTCACAGGAAATATATATATCGATTAAATTGGCCTCCTTCAGAGCGGAACTTTGCTCTCCGTATCACAATAAAGATGTATAGAAACACAGTTTGGCTGTACCATATGCCTGAGTCTGAAATAGGCTGCACATTGTAAATTTTTTTGGTGTGCAGCCGTCTGTATCATCGCCAAAATGCATGTAGCACATAGCATAGAGTATTCATTGTAGTTGTGGATAGTGTACAGAACATCTTATATGATTTTCCAGTGGGTAGTCTTTCATTTTTCCTAGATGCTGCACTTGTGCATTCATCCTAGTTAGAAGCTCTAGCTCCATATCATGGTCACGATCAATATCATCACTATCCGCAATATCATCGTCACTATCCTCAATATTGATATCATCAATAAGAGAACTTTTAGGCTTGTTATTCATGAACTTGTTCAGAAATATTGTAATGAAAGGAACATAGGAGTTTGTCACTAGGTATTTGATCAAATAGGATCGTCTAGTTCCTATAGAACCTATCATTAAGTACCCCTAAAGGGGGACAAGGCTAAGCAGAACCAAAAAGGGTTTTCCGTGAGATGTGAAATGAAAACTATTAGCCTACATGATGTTTGTGAATAAGTGATTGTCTGATATAGAGCAAGAAATATCCGTCTTTTTGCTAAATAGAATGTATTAAACTCATAATTCATTAGATACTTTTTTATGAAAGCCAACTAAGTATTGTAAGTAAATTGCTCCGATTGTTCAATCATTTGATAACCAAAGTTATTCTTTGATAAATGATCACTACGAGTCAAACTCGATAGAATTTGATTGATCCTTTTTTCTGTTGTTAAGGTGGAAAGCTGAACCAAGTATTCTCTTTCTTTATCATCAATTTTATCACTGTTCGTGACCTAGGGTTCTATTTTATCATCAATTCAATCACAGTGCACATTTTTTCTTTTTCTTATCAATGAATAGATCTTTCTACTTGTATGACTTAGATGTTTCGTCTTTTTCGAAAAAGCGATTCGATGGATGGGATTCCGTATGATACTTATGAGATCGATGAGATTGATATTCAAATATTTTTTCTTAGAACATATTGATTTGACCCTATAAGCGGGACCACCACCCCATAGCATGTTGCCGCCAGAAGTAGAACCCTGTATTTCTTCAGAATCTCCTAATTTTTCCAGAGCAACTAGAAAGAGATTCTTTAACTAAAAAGAATTTAGTTCATATGTAAGATACCGATCCAGAAGTTTTGGCAATTGCATCATGTATAATGGAATCATCCAAGATTTGACATTTCCGAACTTTGTTTGTAACTCACTATAGGCTTGGGGAACAAAAATAAGATGTGTGGATATATATGTAGCAACAAGGAGGAACAAGATTGAACACAGGAACTCCCGAACATTTGGAGATCTCACATGGGTTAATATCAATGGTGACTCATTATTTCAATGAATCATTTCTTCGAACAGAAGAAGATTATGTAAACACTTACTCGAAATCTCACTTATTAGATTCCATTGTGTAAGACAAAAAATTTTCTGAAGAATTTGCCATGATATTTTTGATCAATGCATAATATCATGAAAAATTGATACAAATTTTTTATTGCTACTTAGTATGAGCAATAGGTTTGAAAAAATATCTAAAAATCTCCAATTTAGATATTTGTACCCTATCGAGGTAAGGAACCATGACATATGTGTTTGGAATATATTCCAATTTGAGAGTTGAAAACTCACTATCTCGTTGAAAGGTTCTATACATCTGTCCTTTCTCAACGCATTTCTTTAGACAAAGACTCCGTTTTTTCCTCTTTTCGGATGGTAAATATTTCTTAGAATATGAGGTGTGAATCAAACCCATGTTTGAATTGAAGTTAAGATACTGATACAAGTTCTTCCCTTTTGAATCAGATAGATTTATATATGAAAGAGGTTGACAATAAGTTCTTTTAAAATTGACTATTTGTCCCTCTGTTAGAGTTGTTCCAGAAATATCTACAATTGAGTAAATAGCTCTATCAACTAATGGATTGGATTGGATCGAATTGCCAAATGGAAAGATTTGTACAAGTTAGACCTTTTGTGGAAAATCGTTAAATATCAATATGTTAGATACCTGTGAAAATGGCTCTTCTGCTTAGAAACGAAATGTTCCAAATGTTCCTAAAAATTCTTTCTCCCATTTGACCATTTGTATCTATATACATTAGGATCCCGATTCATGGATCTCTCGGTTCAAGAAATAGAAATAAGCTAACTCTATTTCCAATTCAATAAATGTTGGTTGATCGTATATTTCATTATAGTTTTATGATTCAAAGTATCATTTCTTATTTGATCCCTTTGAATTCCATATTCAAAGTTGCGATTGGATCTATTCATTAAAAATAATCGATTCCATACATTTCTTATGTACTCATAGGTGCTACATTTTATCTGAATTAGATTTCGGATCCATCTATATTGATTGACTACCTGCATTATGTTGTTGCTAGCAAATACTACTATTTTTTGTTTTGGATCTTCATAATCATTCCGCGGGAGATTTGGACTCATTTTTTTTTTTATCCTACAATAAAAAGATTCATTCTCTTCGTAAATAGGAGGTAGAACTAATAAAGACTTCTTTTTCAATTCATCCCTAGAATTGAACATCTCATTCAAGAATTTTTATTGATCCAATATCTAAGAATTAATAGAAAAGACAAATTCCTTATGATACACCAGATCTGGCTCGCTTATTGATAGAGTGAATAGATTTGCCATTTTTTGAAATCTCTCTTCTGATTCAAAATCGTGGTGTAACGTTTATACCCCTCTTCCAGTCATATTACAGATGAAATAAATCAAAAAATGTATTTTTGTTCAAGAATGAAATCTCATGAGAACTGTCCATATCTAGTTCATCCTTTGGAACCATATCACATCCCAGATCCGATGAAATTGGATGAATTGAAACGGTATTTTGTACATACGTATTATCTTGAATATATTAACTATTTCTATATTTTCCAAAAGAAACATCATGTTCTTTCTTCAACAAGTGGACAGTAGGTAACCTACTTGCAACATAAATCTGTTTATCATAAAAGAGATTCATTGTTCTTGACCCTGTTCGTTATGCTTAATATCTTTAGTTTGATCTATATCCGTCTTCATTCCACCCTTTATTCGAGTAGTTTTTTCTTAGTCAAATTGCCTGGAGGCCTACGCTTTTTTGAATCCAATTGTAGATTTTATGTTGGTAATACCCCTTCTCTATTTTCTCTTAGCCTCTGTTTGGCAAAGCTGGTGTAAGTTTTCGATGAGATCTTTATTTAATGTCCTAGACATGATTTATTCGGAAAAAAAAAATCGATTTCTGTATTGAGCGATTGATTTCCCGAAAGCGCTCTTGTGGACCGTCACATCATTACATGCATTCATCGATTAATTCTCCGTTTCAGTGAAGTTGAAGCAGAAATTCTGCATAAGCGACTGGAATGCAGAACTGCTCATAATATATATAGGAAATAGGTAAATCATCGCAAGATGCAGAGCAAGGAGCATTATGGTTGACAAACATCCGTGAGGCGTTGCTCCATTATTCGTGGCAGGGCTAATGAACAGATCTTCTGGAAATTAATTGAGGTTGCGTTTGAATTTGCCGAAATGAAAATGTTGTTTAGAATTTAACACCTTGCAACATCATACCCGGTTGACCCATCACAAGTGTTTAAGAATACTCTCTGAGGAATCAAAGCTTGGATTTGGTTTCAGAGAATATGCTTCAAATGATTGTTACTTTGTGTTGACTTTTCGATGATCATATCATGCTTGATTGCAATTCCTCAGTAAATTAACAAGCCGCCAGCACTAAAATATCTGTCAATTGAGCTGTACAGAGTCAATGCAGAGAAAGTCAAAATCAGAATGGACCAGGAAGGTACAGCCCTCATTGTGTATTGTTTTCCAGCTGAGCTTTCAAAAATGCATCATTCGCGAACTCATAGGATGTACTGTTTGATTGAGTTTCTGCGCACAAAGTGACTCCTTAAGTAAGAAAACAGAATCATCTTGTTGGTGAAATAACTACTCTGCTTCCGTTGCGTGCTCACGATGTTTCATTTATCTAAAACCGTGACCGAATTCTCTAGTCTCCTGGAGCTCGCTCGACGCGCTTAAGGAAGAAAATTTGAAAAATAAAACGAAGTGACCGGAAAAGGAAACAAAGAAAAGTAAGATAGGAACGCTTTTTTGTTAGAAGTGGTTGTCCTAGCCTTTTGCTTTTCTTTGATCTATTCTAAAGGCAAAAGGAAGACACCATCTTGACTAGCACATTGTGCCACCTTGGAAGGAAGGTGAATGCCCTTCTCTTTTGGATGAATGGAGTGGGTTTAGAAGGTGCTTTCTGATCTACGGTCCCTCGGAGCGAAGGGTTAAGCAGGTAGTATGGGCCCTCCGACACAATAGAAGGCATCAGAAGCTTTGGATGTCTTCTCGATTGAAAGAAGGTTGAAAATGTCGAAAACAATTTGTTGATTCGCGACTCTTTGGGAAATCACGCATAGAGAATGGATTTACTCCCTCTGATATTTGTAGCTGAAGAACCAACAATTTCGACTAGATGAAACTGAACAACACTGGAATCAAATCCCTGATGATCACGTCCACATCCTGAGAAGCTCCCTCCACTTTCCCTGCCCCAAAAGCTCCCAAATCCAAACACACCCTTCTGAGACATCTCTTCCAATGCCTTCTCAACCTCCTCCATGCACCGCCCGCCTCTCCCCGACACGTCTAGGAAAATCCCATCTTCCCCAGCTCCTATAGAACACCCTGGGCCTTCCACGAGCCGACCTTCATGTAAATGCCTTGTCCTTTCGAGGCTTTTCCTTTTTCTCCTGGAACGCCGAAACCTTTTCTTGGCGAATTGCTTTGTCTTCTGGAATAGGCGGCATGGAATTTTTAACAAGATGAAGACGGCAATCTGGAGGACCAGGCATTGGCAACAGCACGACACGACGATGCAATCCGCAGCAAGCGCGTTCCAGTCTTCCATGACTCGTGGATGCGGTTTGGAGGCAAATGATTAGCGGAAGACATCATCATAGGTTTATGAAAGAAGGTTCTTTGTCTCTCTGGGGAGGTTATTAGGAAGGGTAAAGCAAGCAAGCAGATATCATGTGGCTAAAGCTAATAAAGGTGGCAATGAGTCATATGGCTTTAAATTGCTTGGCAAATCTTAGGATGCAGCTATTGCTTCCAGTTTTGCGTATCAAGGAACGAGAGGAATACCAAATTTCAAGGAAGCAAAAGCCTTTTTTGTTCCCTGTCAAAATCTGGTAATCTTGGAGTCTACTCTTTAGTTTCAGCTGCGGCGGGATGATTCTTGGGTCACCAAGTCTTCGCTTTGATGTGATTCTCACGCCGTCTGTCTTCGGAGAAAATATTTTCTAAACGGGGAATAACGTAGCTACTACAGCTTTCAACTTAAAGAGCACTGTTGTCATGTCTTCCTTCCTAGATCAAGCAATCATCTGTCCCATAACATCAACTTGATTCAATCCTGTTGGACTAAGCAGGATCATTAAGCGCTCTTCTATTGTCTACTTAAGCAAATTGCAACATTATAGTAAATAAATCTAATTTTATAATACGAGATCTAATGAATTCACAGCTGGTCATTGACAGGATTCTTGCTGTTCAAGTTATTGACTGAGACGCAAGCTTTTGGCAGGGGTGATTTCGATAACGCTAATCACATCAATATTTTAATCACGCGTAGATTTATAGGAACAGATGTAGCAATTTGCGGGAGAGTCATTGTAACAACTTGAAGGAGCACCACCTCCTCATCCCTGTCATTTTATTTGGCTTATCAATTGATGAATACCGATGTGATTTACAATCTCTTAATCACTTTAAATACTAATCATACGAAAGAACATCAACCGGGGAAACGAGCTTATGGTGATGAATTCCTTATAATACTAGCGAAAGGCATGTATTCGACGCATCGTTACTTAGTGCCCATTGATAAAATCACATGTACGCAAGAAAAAAGTTAGTAATCAGAAGAGAGAAGTTCTCAATAAATAACATGCATTTTTAAGAAAAAAACTATAAGTATTTATGATTTTGCAACATTCCATCAACCAACCAGGCGAATTTTCCTGCAAACAAACAAATGCAACTTTCACGTATGTATTTGCATGATTAGGACCCCTCATTATTTCCACTTCTCTCCATTTGCTGTCTTTACAATGTGTAGCCCAAGATTGGTAGCTTAATTGCATCGTCAACACCAATGGACTTGGTTCTCATTCATTGTTTTGGCTTAACCAAGAAATCTCCTCAGAAACGTTTAGTAGTTCAGAAATAGGTGCAACAATACGGTTCCCCTTACAGGTTTTGTGCACTTCCGAAATACCTTGATACAAGAGTGCGACCTCCTCCAGATCTCCCAGATTATAACCATCATATAAACAGTAATGTTACAGACAAAACTATCGAGACCGATATTTAGAAGTCTGTGCAATCATAAATTATTCCTTGCGAGCATGACCTCATAAGCTTTTGCATACAAATCTCTAGACAATCTTTTGTATCCCAAACATTACTCGTGCAAAAAAAAGAGAAGAGTCTTCCTCTTGCAGACACAGTAATGTTATGGGGTCTTTCAAAATATTCGCTTTTATTCAGAGTCAAGAGCTCGATTCTATTGATGCAGATGCTGTTATAGTGGACTGTTTGTTCACCGATGCGCAGCATATTCTTCTCCCCCAATTTAAAGACAGAGTGAGCACAGGGACGCAGTAAGATATTGTGGAGATTAATTACACGAGTTTGAATTTGAATACAATGAACAAAATTGAATCAATGAGATTTTCACACCACCCTAAACCTCGGTGGCAATAGAAGATATGCAATACTACTGGCTACCCTAAAAAAATTGCAGTAAGGCAGTGCACCACTCGACTTTATGAAGAAACCTACTTACAGGTCCAAGAGAGTGAGTTTTGCCCTTTACCAGCAGACAAGCTCTTAAGAGCCACAGCTCAGACAAGACAAACTCTCTTGATGCAATCCTCTCACAATATTTACCAAAACCGTCCTTCAACTATTCGAGCTACTCCGGCTAAAGAATTCTGTACTGTAATCTTGGCTGCCAAAAGCCATCCTCTCAAACAATCTGATTTCTGCAGATTGTTGAGCGGAATTAAACAGCTCGCTCTCTCCTAGTCTCATTCCATTGGTTAAGTCGGAAGCAGCCAAACTATCAAATGCTCTCACAATCTGCAAGGTATGACCTGACTCAGGATATCTTCACTGACGACAGATAATTCCAACCAGAATGCATATTTAGAACTTACCTGTCCCATACGAGGTCTCTTGGCAGCTGAATGTCGCACACAAGCAGCTGCAGCTTCCATCATCCGGAAAATTTCAGCTTCAACATAATTTCTTTCAAGCTTTGGATCTGCCAAAGCCTCAAATTCTTCATTATCAAGTGCATGGCTCAGTAAAGGTCGAGCCTGGAAGATGGTAGGATATATTGGTTAGTGAAATGAATGTTTCATTTTTTACTACTATTCCATTTGCCATGCTTGTGCATTTTGGATTAATCAGTTCATTGAGTTGGACCTGAAAAACACTCAACATTCTAGAGTAGAGGTGATGGTTGTCCCATCGTTCATGACAGGGTCCAGTCTACCACAAGTTCAAAGACAACTGAGAAACTCTGTTAGACTTGCATATACCGTGAAAATATTATTTTTTCTTAATACGATGAGGTGAGACTAAATGCAATTGGCCTGTTGCCAAATAAGAAGTAATCTAATATCCGCTACCTTCTATGGAAAACAATAACTTAAGGGAAAGTAGACGTGCTAGCAGTTCCTAAAGTTACCAGAAGTTAGCACTTAGCAATTAAGCCATGCATACCTAATAATTATAGACAACGCAGCTTTCCTGAGAAAAGGTAAAAATGCTCAAATGCATCTGCATTCTCAGTCTTAAGATGATTAAAAAGGGCTGCATTGTTTTCAACCTTTAATGTATATAAGCATCTGTCCTGACTCGGGCCAAACACATTACATTACCAATTACATCGCGTAATATTTCCAAAGTTCAATAAATGCTCAGGTCAAATGAAATCTCAGAAAGAGCTCATAAGTAAGGTGATATGTTATGATGGACCTGCATAATACATTTTGCTTTGATGGTCCATAAATTTCCCAAAATCTATTTGCTCTAGTTGTTTCTTCCAATATGGACCTCAATGTCAGAATAGCAGCATAATATATGAGTAAAGACACATCCAACTATCATATCATTATGATAGAAAAGCATCATAGCCAATACTAATAGATAAGCTTTAAAGGGTGCAAATAAATGCACAATTAGATTGATCTGGCTAGGAGATTGTCTTATAAAGACTCCCACTGTTAAGGATAGACCCCCGGGACATAAATTCTGTTTAAGTACTTAAGTAACGAACTCCTTCGTAATTCAGGGCTATCAATTGGCCAACTCAGAGAATACGAGTATGAACAAAACTACAAACAGATTCGACACATTGCTTAACATGCTCCACAAAGACAGATGACCAGCATCTATACTAGCTCTGCAAGATCTAACAGCTCTATCCAAGTCAATTTAATATGGCGAATCATGATCAGCAAACAAAAAAAGAAAACAAGGATTTATAACTAACCCATTCAACTAAACTCTCATCTCCCAAGGGTTGTGATGCATCCACAGGCTTCCGTCCAGTTATCAGCTCCAGAAGCACAACTCCGAAAGAGAAAACATCAGATTTCTCGGTCAATTTGCCACTTGATGCATATTCAGGAGCCATGTATCTGAAATGTCACCATGAAGAATTTATGTTAAAGAGAACATGTAGAACATGTGTGGTAAGTGCATGGGCCAAACATGCGACAATTGGTTTTCATAAAACTCAGATAGAAGTCATCTCTAAGCATCACAACCGAAAATGGACAACACTACATACCCGAAAGTTCCCATCACACGTGTAGTGATATGTGTATCTGCATCAAGAGCTAATTTGGCAAGTCCAAAGTCTGATACCTGTGAAGCAAAGAACTAGGCATCAGTACAACCAAACTTTCAGAAGAACCAATTAAAGCCTGTCCTATAGGGATAGTAGGCACACCCGAGATTCGAAGTTATTATCTAGAAGAATGTTTGACGACTTGATGTCTCTATGGATAATACGAGGATGGCCTGAAAAAGACATCAAAATTAAGAAAAAATTACACATTAGTAAATCATGGGACAGAGAAGATTCCATGACAAAATTTACTAAAAGACATGTACTGCTGAAAAAGTAAATCAAGCTAATTCACTCCAAGAACAAAAACCTCTTAGAATTAAATCATTATACATCCTTTCGTCTCTCAAGTGAACAAAAAATAGGCCAAGAAAAATAAGTGCATCTGTTAAGCTTATTTGCGTACTTTGCTTTAGATTTTAACGGATATCAATTACATGACCCCCAAGTAACGTTCGATCTTTTTTTTTTCTTTTTCCAAATAACATTGCAACAAAAAGAAAGGGACTTTATTTTGTATTTCTCAGATTAGCTCAAGTTAATGTGCATTAAGTGGCCATCAACAATCAGTAGTTGGAGAACTGATGCTTACAGTCTTCATGAAGGTAAGCTAATCCACGAGCAGCGCCAGCAGCAATCTTAACACGTGTTGCCCAGTCCAGCACTGGCCTACCTTCTCCTACATGTCAGAAGGGAAAAACTTCAAATCAGAAGTGGCGGAAGACAATCTGCACAAAGAATACTTTGGGCATCGAAGCATTGAGAACTTTGAGATGAGCAATTACTGTACCATGAAGATGAAAGTAGAGGGTATTATTAGGCACATAGTCATACACAAGCAACCTTCTGGTGTCAGCAATGCAGTACCCGACTAACGACACCAGATGGCGATGGTGAATGCGACTGATGATTTCAACTTCAGCTTTAAATTCTCGATCCCCTTGCCCACCACCAACTTTTAGCTGCTTTACAGCTATCTCTCTCCCATCTGGAAGGAATCCTTTATAGACAGCACCAAAGCCACCCTCACCCAATAGATTTTGAGATAAAAAACAATCGGTAGCCTTGACCAGCTCTTCATACGTAAACCATGCCCTGGAATTTCCAATCCCCCCCTGCTCCTTTAGCGAGTAAGCATCACTCCCCGAACTACTTCCGAGGAGGGGTGCAGCAGAATGTGTCTTGATAACAGATGAATCTGGAGACAATTCATAATGTAAACTCATTCAAGTTAACAACCACCACATATAGATCCCCTCTTAATTCCACATATACTCAAGAACAAGGATTAAAAGAAGTGAATCTCTTATGCCTCTCTACACCAATCCTGAACCATGCTTGGTTTTTCTTCAGAACACAGTTAAAAGTTTAATGAATTTGAAGATTCCAATGTGCTAAATTCCCTATTAGGTCAAACGAGACATCTGATATCATTTGATATCTTCATGTTGCATTGCTTATATATCTTGCAGCGCATGAATGCTTTATACTTCCACATTAACCACCCCAAGAGAGAAGTGCTTGTACTAACCATCAAGCCAATTTGGAGTGTGGGCTTTTGAAAGATTACTGAGGCACCAAAACAGAGAGCACATTTTATGAATGAGACCATAGCGCACCCTCACAAATGATACACAAAAGAGTACAACAGATTTTCCAGAGAGGGGATAGCATCTTTAGAGTACCTGTTCCAGGGGAAGAGGCCCCGGGTGATGGCACGATGTAGACTCCAGTAAGTCTAGTCACCTTTTTCGTTCGTTTTCTTATGCACCAGACAGCAAATCCAATAAGGCTGATGAGGATGAATCCCACTACCGTAACAATAGCCACTGTGCCAACTGTTCCTATTCCAGAACCAGAATTCCCTTTGTGATTGAAATTGGAAGTTGAATTAGTATTGTTGCTTGCAGTTGGACCAGTAGAAGAAGGGGTTGAAGGGACAGGAGTGGGAGGTGGAGAAAGACCTGACAGAGAAGGTGGAGGTGCTGAGATTGGAGGAGAATTAGAAGGCGGAGTTGGTGGAGAACTGGGAGGTGGGGAACTAACCCTAGGAGGTAGAGGTGGTTTAGCCGGAGGAACTGATGCCAGAGGGGAAGGTGAGCCTTTTGATGGATTTGAGGTTGGTCGTGGAGGTGAACTTTTGGGTGAGGGCGACACAGGTGATGGGGGTGGAGGTGAACTTAGAGGTGGACTTGATGGTGGCGATGATGGCGGCAGCGGCGAATTTTCAGGGGGATTGGATGGTGGCAGTGGTGGTGGCGAAGGTGGACTTTCAGGGGGTTTTGTAGAAGGCCGCAGAGGTGAACTAGGAGGTTCTGTTGGTGGTGGAGGTGAACTAGGTGGTTCTGCAGCCGGTTGCGGTGGAGGTGAAATCTCAGGTGGTGGAGTTGATGGTGGAGGTGGTGAACGCGGTGGCGGCACTGATGGTGGAGGTGGTGGTGGAGGCAATCTCGTCGGAGGAGTAGCGACAGGTGGCGAAGGAGTAACTGGTGGACTAGGTGACGGTGGGGAAGTTGGAGGAGGAGGAGGAGGAGGAGGCGAAGGCGGGGCCGGACTTGCTGGAGGATCTGATGATGACGGGGAAGGAGTTGAGGGGGGTGGAGCTTGGGAAGATGAAGGTGGAGATGAAGTACTACTAGTATTAGGAGGCGGTGCCGACGGCAGAGGGGATGGCGTCACTGGAGGAGTCTGAGGCGGTGGTGATAAGGTTGAAGGGGTGGTGGAGTCAGGTGGATTCGCATCAGGTGTAGCGGGGGAGTTAGCTGGAGGTGGTGGAGGAGAGGAAGGCTGTGGCGGTGGAGAGATGGTAGTTGCTGGTGGGGGCACGGTGGAGGGGGATTCATCCGGAGATGGCGAAGTACTTGCCATCTCTGAGATCAGCACAACCCAGACAACAGATCAATCAATCTCCAGTTTCACAAATCATGTCAAAATCTTGAGGATTCCATTAACACATTGGACACCTCCACATTTCCCTTCCCAGCTAAGAAGATCAGATTTTGAGGACAACCCAAGTGCCTAAATCAATTCTTGAGCCAAACCCAAAACCACAAACAGAATCACCAGACTCTTGCCACTCAGAGTCACAGGAAGACCATCAGTATCAGCCAATAAAGAGTAGTAGAGCACAGTTCTGGGGAGCGACGGAGCTTTACTAACCCAGATGAACCAAGAAGGGCAACGTTATGAGAGAACCCAGATCAGCTCCCAAAAAAAAAAAAGCAATGACAGATCACAATCTCCAAAAGAAACAACGATTCACGAGCTCCAAGCCACATAGACTGAGCCCAGCAAAATCCAAACTTTTCTCATTCGATTCAGGACTCGAAAGAAAAAAAGTACAGCCCGAACCTCCGGTTACAGAAATGTACCAACACCGACACTAAACAAGGGAGCGGAGGCGAACCCAGAAATGCTTCAGAAGCGCTAGAGCCGAACCTTTCGCGCTCCAAACAAATCTCTTACTCATTCAGCCATTCGAAGTCATCACAGCTCGTTCTTGAATTGGACGATGAATGAGTCCCTTGGAAGCTTCTGCGTGCCTCTCTCTCCTCCCTCCCTCCCTCCCTCTCTCTCTCACAACTGCGAGGAGGCACACGGAATGTGGGGTCACCGATCCAGAGCCAAGGCGATGATGGGGACGTCAAGAGAGAATACTTTTCGAGAGATTGTCCGAACTCAAACGAAAGATGACAACAGTGAAGGTCTATGAATATCATTATCAAGTCATTACCAGATAATTCCAGGTTCATAATTAACGCGGCCTTTCTGCGTAGGTTGCTTCACTTCATTGCAACGTCAAATCAAACTCGCCAAGATGATTATCTTATCATTTCCTGATGAGGTGTTTTGCTGAGTAACGGCATGCCCTGCTCATCCACGTTGCCAAGCCAAGATCTTTGCAAAATTACATATTTTTTTTTTTAAGGGTTACTACTGTCAAAAATCTCAAACTGATACATTTATAACAAATTTATCCAAAATTAATTTTTTTGACCTTCGAAAAACCCTAAACTAGTACACTCGTGATAATTTTACCCCGAACTAATGTTTTTTACCATGAAAAATTTCAAACTGATACATTTGTAACAATTTTAACTCGAACTAATTTTTTGACCATTAAAAATCATAAACTGGTATATTTATGATAAATTTACCATTTGTTAGTGTCCGTTAAATTTTCCTGTCGAATTGCTAAGTTTGATGACACGTGGTAGTTGACGGGTATACCAGTTTAGGGTTTTACCCATTTGTTTGTCACAAGTTTATGAATTTGTGATATTAATCCAATTTAACGGAGTGTAAATTTGTCACAAATGTATCAGTTTGGGATTTTTTGTGGTAAAAAAATTAGTTCGGGATAAAATTGTCACAGGTGTACTAATTTGGAGTTTTTTATGGTTAAAAAATTAGTTTGGGATAAAATTATCACAAGTATACCGGTTTGGGATTTTTCGTGGTATTAATCATTTTTTTAAAGGTTGTGTCTTTTTAAAGGTAGTCTATATAAGCTCTCGTTTATAGGCAAGGTGTTGATATGTTTTTTTTTTTTTTCACTTTCGGATTCAATTGGATCATCACTGAATATGATAATGTACATAGTTATATCGAGTTCGAATCATTTTGAGTTCATTACTTTCGAGTCGGGCTGATGTCGAACTTTACTCATTTGGGGTTCGACTTATTCTTCATTCGGTTGAGATGTGAAACAAAAAAAAAATCCCAACATTCCTCGAATGATGATTTTTTTAGATTGCCGTAACAACTTTCAATTACGGGTGACATGTTTATCATACAAAAAAAAATGAAAATTGTAAAAACCCGAAAAGTACCCCCTACTTTTGTCTCCAATGTGCTGAAGGAATTTTTTCACATGTTACTCCAGGTGATCCACGAGCAAAAATAGTATGATCTCCATCACAATATGAAGAAGCCACTAGCTTCTATAAATGGTCAATACAATCATCAAAGTCACGTATATCCATTGTAACAATATCTATGAATTGACAGTGTATGTGCATCAACAAAGCTCATTTATCATTCCTACCGATGTCATATCCTATATATATATATGCTAATTTTATCAATCCGACCTGCCCCAGTGTATTCAAATGTTTGATTTTGTCTTTCCGCAGCGTCTGATGCTTTTAACTCAGATGAAGGGGTCGTATTTTTAATATCTGTACGTGTTTGGACTTTTCCTTCCGGGAGCCCGTGTCTGACCGCATTAACGAAGTGGGGGGGACAAACACAGCTTGGTCTGCATGGATTTTCTTGTCCTAATCATACGAGTATCCTTTAGTCAGAAAGATAACCGCAACCACGTATTTAACAGAACCAATCCGTCCTCGTCCAGAACAGAGGACCCCGGTCAGTGAGTGATCTACACGGTGGTGCATGGAACTTTACAGATTTAAAAAAGGCGAATTGGATGACAGAGAATATAAGAATAACAACAGCATATTAAATAGGGGTTCCCCCCATCTTTTTTTCATTTTTAAACTTAAACGGGAGATTCTCTATGGTATGGTCCACGCACGGACAAGTGAACTAGGTTATGTGCAGAGCGGGTCCCAAATGAAGCTATGAAGTATGAATTGGTCTTATATTAAAGGATGCAGTTAAGGAGCTTTTCACGGTGTTAAAGCGAGAGAGGGAGCATTAAGATCTGGTGGGTCTCCCCAATTTTTAGGACGATGGGCCCGAAAACGACAGAAGTTTCAGGAGTGGTGGTGGTGGGTCAAGATGCAGCAGTCCCTGCAGCACATTATTTGCGACCCGTGAAGTTCCAATCTACATGCTGCTCCACGTTCGGAGACTGTAATGGCTTTAGTGGCCGTGAGCTTCTCACACACTGCAGCACACCAATAGGACCCTTTTCTGCCCGTTTTCCCTTTGTCTTTCTCCTCCTATTTTGTTGACTTTCTTTTCGCTTTTTGTCCCATTCCTTCTCTTTCCCGAATTTCTCTTGCTCTTTAGAGAAAAAGGAAAAGCCAACAGGCTGCGGCTTGCTGATAAATGAACTGGGAGGCGAGAATGGTAGTATCATAAATGCGGAGCTCGACTTTCGCTCTCTTCAAGATGCAGAACAAAAAAGATGCAGAACAAAAAAACTCATAGAGAAAGAAGAGAATTTGAGATAAGATGGACAAAAAGAAAAAAAAGGAAGAAAAAAAATCTCTTTTTACTGTAGTTGTGGACTGTTAAAATCGGAGAATGTGAACTGAGAAGGACAAACATAGAATTTGGACATATTGGCGATTGCTGACAAAGGGGGTGTCGGTGGGTATGTGAGACAAGAGGGACCGTAGATTTGGGGCGCACGCGTCTCTACGATTTTCACCAACACTCACATGGGCAGAGACAACCTTTTAACACATGCATCATCATCATCATTAGGCTCTGTTTTTTTTAGGTTTGGTAGCCATAGACCAAATGACAGGTCCATATCTCCAACTACACGGTCTAGTAACCTCTTCCCAGATTGCGGACTGCGGCTATGTCTGAAAATTCAATGGTGGCGCGGAACAAGTTTCGTTTTTCCTAGATGGGCTAAGAAGTGGAAGGTGCAGCTATAACATTTGGTGCTACACTGTTTTTCCCGGATTAGAATGATCCGCGTCACAACAACACCAATCACCATCCAGGTGCTCAAGTCAACAAGAATGTGAACGCAAAACCCCTGCACGAAGAACCCGAGCCGCCAGAGAGTTTGGTCAATGAGAAGGGAAGGACAATGAATAATAGTGCTAGATATTCATGCATGAGTATTCCTAGGGTAAATCAAGATTATTTCGCAAAAGCTATGAGAGAATTTTGTGAACCAATTCTTGAGTGTAAATATGTATGACCTTCGAGCCGGCGAAGCACGCTCAAACTGAATCGCCGCACACTTTTATGTTTGAGGTTTAACCAAAACCAGTTGCAAATCACCCGTTCAACATCTACCGATCATTCGGAATGCTCCAGCACATGACTCTTCCGCGAAAGAGAAGGCTCTGGGAAGGGATGGCGGGTTGGGCAATTTAAGATTTGGTTTGGGCCAATGAGGACGGAGTCATAGGAATCTTTCTACTTTAAGTACGAAAGATTGTGTCCCCCTGCATAGCTTTAACACGATGGAACTTTTCTGGCTTTCAAAGTTTTGGAATTCTATTGATTGGCTGTTGACATTTGACCTCAAAACTCCGGCAGTACAAGCCTCTAGCTTTTTCTAATGAAGAAAAAAGGGGGAAATCTGGAAAACGACATCGGGAGGAGTTACTCTACGCGGTTCCTTACTTTTGCAATAAAGACTGCACGCTTGATGCAGATGCCGTTTGAGTGTATGTGCCTAGAACACTAAATGACAAATAGGGTGCTTGATCAATGATCATCTAGCTTAATTTATTGGACCAAACCTTCATCTTTACCAGGACGGTTGCTTTGCTTTGGGACATGGCGGATAGAAAATACGCAAGCCCTCTTCCATTTTCCCTCCCTTCCACTCCCAAACAAAGCATTCTATAAAGGGTGGGTATGCGGTAATGAAGATGAGGGGAGCTACGTAGCGTATAAGAATGCCAAAGAAATCGCAGTTGCAATCAAGAGTTGCTGGATGGCAACTACAGGAACGAACACTAAATTACCCTCGGAGCAAGCAGATTTCCAGCATGCATATGACCCAAGAAGGAATCAGCACGAATTTTTCTAACCGGAATTCAATCATCAAATCAATGAAAATATCGAGTGTGCTTTTTTGAATCTCTCTTACCGATGTAAAAGCTGCAGCAAAAGTAGCCATTGTTACCTCTGGCTTGCTCGAAGTATAGCAGTGTAAGCATATCAGGTCCAGAGACAAATACCACAAGCAGGGGCAATGGGAAATGAGTACTCCGCATTCTCTCAAAAAGGAAAAGGCAAAGAGCATCGGCTGACATAGAAAAGATCCAAGAAAAAGAATACTATTGATGAAGTCTGTTTTCCATTGCTAAGGCAGGTTGAGCACCAAGTCAGCAACATTCATAAGGCTGCTTATCGGGTTGAAAAGCTCAACATCAAAGGAAACCTTCATATCTCTCTATTCTATTTTCATTTCCTATATCCATTTCTCACACAAACTAACTTGTGAGAACACAAAAGAGAAAGAAACATGAGAACGGTTTCTTTTCCTACGGTTCAAACAACCACTTCAGGAATTCAGTACCTGTAGCTGTAATGGTGAATTTCTTGAGTTAACACTCCCGCTGTTTGGTGTTAGTGGATCAAATTCAGGACTTTGCTTCTAGGAGAAAAGCTATCAGTTTATTCTCCCAGTGCTGTGGGAGTAGCAAGAAGGACGTAACTACTCGCGATGATTGTCCATAAGAAATCTTAATCCAGAAAGTTGGCCCCGACTTGATTAAATAGGACGGGATTCATTAATGAAGCAGTTAGTTCAGCCCATTCGATAGCCTTGAATTCCTCCTAGAAAGTATCTCGGCTGCCCAGCTCTTTCCTATTTCAGTTTGAAACTTACCTACATGAAAGAACATAAAGAAAGAAAGACAACGTTAAATCCAAATCCCAACATAAAGTGAGAAAAGAATCAGAAGAAATATCTACCTGCTGTTGAAAGGAAAAACTCATCCAGCACCATCCCATGTTCTGCATGTACATAGCATAACCTCAAATGAGATGGGTTTTAGGAAAGTGTATAAGTAGAAACTAAATCAAAACCAGAAATAGATAGCACATTTTTGCAGTTCCCAAATCTAATTGTATGACTGGAAATGAGCATTCAGACGTGAGTAGAAACTCCCAAAAGTTGGGTGCCATTGAGTAAGTAGTGTCATTCAAGAAACGAAATCTCAATCAGCATAATCAAAAATGAAAGAGATAAAGAGGGAGGGCAAGGAAGAGAGGGGGAGAGAGAGACAGAGACAGAGACACAGATCGTGACAAAAGAAACAAGAAAAATTTGACATATCACATGATTTGACCATATTATCTGTATACCTGCTGTCATCGATTTTCAGTAGCATCAATGAAATCAAATCAGCAAAAGCAAAAGGCAGAGTCATAAGAGCAGAGAATCCATCAAATTCTCGTGGGTGTTCATTATGAATTTTAAGCAAATCTGATGATAATGTTAGCTCATGAAATCCCAAAGTAACACTTTTTGCTTCTCTACCTCCACCCACTAACAGTTCTATCCTATGCCATTAAAGTGATGGAATCCTGGTCAGCACAATCATGAGCATGCTTTAACCACTGCATTCAGCAGATAGGATAAAAGTTGAAAAGTATATCACAGCCAAACAGTTAAAACTTTCTCTCACAACCTGGATTCTCCCATCATGTGCAAATTAACTTGTCATCTCAAGGCTTGCCTGTTTGCTAATAAGCAGCATGTTGGTAGAAGGCATAGCCACCTAGATTGGTAAATAAGGAGCCAAAAAAATATGGAAATGTGGTCTTCAAGCTGTGGAGAGACGAAAATATTAACTGGAAAGATCATTCATGATCAAAGCGATTAAAACTAATGGCTCCTAAGCTCCAATCAGCTCACTTGGAATCAGAACTTTTGAATCACCCCATGGAGGTTCTCCAGAAATGTTCATGTCAGAAATTTGAACTTTGACTTTGAAGCGGTCACAAACTCTTCTGTACTGTTGATGATAGCAGCTCATTTTCTTCCAAGTTTACCAAAGCATGTAAAGTACAAAATCTTCTTCATGGTTAACTCAGGTAATTTGATTGGTTGACTAACGTGAAACAACAACAGGGAATAGGTAACTACAAACACAGCAAATGTCTGAGGAGTCTGCACACACATGGAGAGACAGTAGGTGGGTGCATTACCGATCTCATATTCCAGGGCTTGCAGAATCAACTCGACCTGGAAAATGGCATATGTTAGTTTACTTGAATTAAGGAAACCATGCCATCGAGAACAGGATATGATTTCAAAAAGAAGCCCAATAAATTGAGAAGTCCTGAAAAATCGGCCACCAAATGCTTTCTATCCATAAATAAATAAGAAACTCTTACTGTTATATGTGAGTACTATGATAGACTTAGAAGCATTGTTCGTTTATCCAGCAATCTTGTGTCGTTGAAGGGAAACTATCTTGCTTTAAATTATGTGCAACGAAAATATCAACATCAAAGCATAGCTATGAAATGATGATCAACCGGCAAAAGAGCAAACGAGACTACAATAGCAATTTTAAAGAAGCAAAGTGTGCCCTGCCTAAAAACAGTAGCTCATAAAGTATTACATGCCAGCAAACACATACTTTGTCAAAATCTTTGACCAAATTAGCCTCTAGAGAAGAATTGTTCTCATACTCAGCCCAAAGTTCCTTGATCTCTTCAGCTACAGAAAGAGAATTTAAATTGGAGTCAAACTCAGGAGCAAAAAGGTAATCCAAGATCCAAAAGATGAGAAGATTAGTACCCCTCATCCCTCCACCAAGAACTTGACACATTTCATCTAAAGCTGCTTGTTCTCTCCTACTCTTTTCCTCTTTAGGCACGCCATCTGCTGGTGTTATATCTCCAACAATAGCTACAGAATTCAAGATGCAACTTCATTCAAATTGATGACACAAAATGAAGCCTGCGAAGGTCTTGGGAGAATGAAAACTACATGAAAAATCCAAACTAAACTATAACCGAATCACTTCAAATCCTTTCTCTTCTTTTCTCTAGTAAATATCTAAATCTATTCTTTCCTTTCTAATATACCTCTTCCAAATACGAAGATATTTCCAAATAGTGGGCTAGACAAGACAGGAAAATTGAAAAATCTTTAAAGGTACTGGTCCATTACTGAATAACATCAACAGTAGCTCCCCGAATAAAATACTCATCCAATTAGAATGGTCTATGGAGATCCAACAGTAAGAATAGAAACAAGAATAAATGCAAGATCATTCCATGTGAGCCATTTGCATTTACAGTTATACTAGAAAAATTTGCACGAACCAACAACAGCAACAGCAATAGCAAATCAGAAAAGCACAGAATGGGCCAACACAATCACAAAATCAAAGAAAATGAGTATGAAAATCAGACAGATAACTATACCTTCAGCAATATCATGCACAATCGCTATCTTGATGCACCTGTGGAAGGGGAAAAGAAGTGACGTGAGAACATGAGAAAAGCATAAAAGTGACATAGAACATCAACTGAAAAGTTGGTATGGATGCATGTGCGATTTGGTCAAGAGCATTATGGCAATCAAAATCTCAACTTTACAAGAAAAAAAAAAGAACATGCATAGTTCTTTCCTGCCAATTAGCTTAAACAGCCACAAACACATTTTTAGCAAGAGCTTCATTGGGATACAAGGTTGAAAACTAGTCATTCAAATTGCAGCTACTTTTATTTCGACAGTAAACCCTATACCTACTTCCAATCAAATTGGAGTAATTCCAAAGTTCTGCTCATGTAACTTCTAAAACGGTTCAAAGTGAAATTACTCCGTCACTCACCTGTCAGAAAACTTAGAGACTGCATGGGCTAACAGGGAATAACGTGAAACTTTATTCAGGTCACACCACATACCACATCAACTTTTCCCTTAGATTTCTGACAGATGGTACGGTAGTAATTGACCAATTGGACATTCAGTTCAGAAGTAAAATAACATAATTGAGAATTAGAATGGATTATACCACAAAAGATGATGAAAGATGAACAACTTTGAATAAATGTCACTCTGAATTTGACAAGTACAGAGCTCTAAGAGCATGATAAGGGTTTCCAACCTTTCCCTATCCAGTCCAGGAAGATCATCGGCAATTAAAGCCATCAATGCCATGCGGTACATATGATCAGCAATCGACTCAGGACCATCGATCCCTTGATTGATCCACCCTTTCCTTTTGGTGGTCTGCAAAAGAAAGCCAAAAATAATTTCTACTGAACATAATTTGTCAAACATGTCGCAAATTCCTACTTAAAGCATTTCCTCCTTGCTTTTGCTGTCATCTATTTTTTAATTGGAAATGATGAGATCCGATAGAACCTAGATACACAAACACAGAAATCTCTCTCGGTGTAAACTCACCATAATTGGTCAGATAGAACCTAATACAAGCGCAATGTCGTGGCAAATGCTTTCCCAAGGTCAACGCACGATCAATGTAAAGAGCAGAAATAGGTGCGATCAAGGGACGTGAATGCAAGTTATCAGGACAACTACCTCAAAGCTAGATGTTACGCGCCAGCAGATCAATGTCAAGTATCAGGACCGCAAAAGACTTACGTGCAGAAAATTCTCACTCAAAGTTCGAACAATGGAACATACTGAACAAGCTTCAACAAGGTAAAGTACCAAACAAAGTGGAGCACAGCAAACCACTCAGCAAAGTCCTGTCAAAACTCAGAATAAAAAAAAAAGGCAATCTAATGCTAAAAAAAACCAAAACTGCGGAAAAACAGAAACGAGTGTATCAAGCTCAGGCTTCAAGAGTTCCGACACTCACGTCATTTCATAACAAAATCATAGATCATGAGAGATAAAGGTGCTTCCTAAAGCACGCCTAGAGCTTCATTCGTCAAGTTTTTTGAGCAACCAAAGTCAGCTGAACCAGAACCTTAATGCAATCCAATAGTACATGAAAAAGAATCAAAGCTATCGATAATCCGAGACAAGAAGTAGTTGGCACAGAATAGAGCGCATTTCTGCAATCAGCTCACGCTCCAAGAGCTGCGGACACTGATCAATCGCGACAAAATGAGAGAGGGAACCTAATTGCTTCACACTTAGATTTTTACTCGTCGCAAGAGCAAACGAAATCAAAGCCGAAACCGCGCGAGTCCCATGCAATACCTTGAGCCGGTGACACAGCGTGAGGAAGTCGATGGCCGAAGCCGAAGAACGATGAGCAGGCGATCCGATCGGCGCGCCGGAACGATCCTTCCGGCGCGAAGGTTCGAAGCCTTCCGAGGAGGAAGCAGCAGAGGAATGCCCGCGGGAGCGCCGCGAGAGAACGATCCTCGGAGCAGCCTCGAGGCGGCGGCGGCGGCCGTCCGGCCCGAGGGAGGCGCGATCGCGGAGCGGCAGAGGAGCGAGGGAGCGATGGAGGCGGAGCGGATGGAACGTCGAAGGATGGACCGCCATTTCCTCCCTCCCGCGTCGGCGAGGGGAAGTTGAACGGGGAGAGGAGGATTCGCTGGGAGTCACTGTTCGTTTCCTACGATGTCGTGGTGGTGGTGGTGGTGGTTGGGTTTGGTTTGGGCGAGAGAACTGTTTTTGAGGTTGTTGTCTTCGTCGGCCGTTCGCTATTTATACATCTGACCCGACCAGAAAAGCGCAACTCGCCACCTGCCTCGTGTCCGATGCTTAACTCAGTCAGTCAGTAAAACTCTCTCAGTTTTTTTTTCAGTACATTTTTTTTTTGTACTGCTCTAACTCTCAACATGGCACGGAAGTCGAAACTCCACTTCACAAAAGTATAACTGAGTCTTAAAACTGTTAAAATGTGCGATTAAGTCTTAAAAACTTATCATGAATTTTTTTTTTCATATCGGTCCAATCAAGTCTTTTCGTTGATTGCCACCTGCGTTGTGCCTAAGGCTTAACTCGGTAGTCAGTAGACTTTTTTTTTTCTTTCGAGATGAGCACATTATTTTAAATAACTAAAACTTGTCACAAAAGTATAAATTGAGATTTAAAACTTCAAAAAAGTGCAATTAAGTCATAAAATTTGTCATGAAAGTGCAATCAAATCATAAAACTTATCAAACTGGTCGAATCAAGTCTTTCGTTAATTGCAACTTTTGAAAGTTTTAGAACTTAATTACACTTCCGTGATAAAGTTGTTGGACTTTCAGTGCACTTATCACTTTTTTCCTATTGGAGAAATATTTCCTAATCAGGTTTTTTTATTAATTTTCCGTAATTAAGTCTATATTACGTGCCGAATAAAGTTCACCCTTCCGAGTAATATTGTGTAGCATTATTTCTCAGCGTTAGTTTAGGTTAATCATTTATTTAAAGGGTGAACTTGATTAGAGGATTCCGATATTAGCAATTTTTTTTTTATGTCGGAGAAGGAAAACACCTAATAATGCCCATATTATTTTAAACCTCCTATGCCGCCGCTTAGATACTCGCATGCACACATATTACTCTAATGTGGGGACTGGAGGGCCACTTTTTTTTATCCCCTTTTTCAAAAGTGTTTTTTTTTTTTGTAAACAAATATATCTTCATGGCACTAATAAACATACATATAAGCAAAGCCTGTCATTTTCAAAACAGTAATTTTTTTTTCTTGGTATGCGAAAGAAAACGTTTTTTTTATTATTAGCGTGGACACCTTATTTTGACCTGAGGGTTTATAGAGATTTGACAAGTGTTGACTGGGAAATAAACCTTAATTACTAAAAAATTTGATGAAAGGGTATAATGGGGTCAATGCCCGATTTGAGCTAATGATGTTCGATTGTGTCTTGAAGATATCGCAATTTTTAATTACGGCCATTCAATATCGAGACGTCAATTCTCCAAAATACCCCGTCCCCTCATTTCCTCTATCTTTCTCTCTCTAGGTTTGCAATTTATAATAATTACTTGTTCATTATTCCACCTCAGAAATTTGTCGAGAAAGCGTGTCGATGTGGCGACAACGTGGATGGCCATGTCATCATTTCAGTCCAATTGTATATAGAAAGGACCGACTTGAATGAAGAAAAATAACAATTCAAGACTCCGATTGCACGGATAAAAAGTTCAAGATTGCAAGGGTAAGGAAAAGTTGAAGTATTTCTTAGGGAAAAAGCTACCGGAAACTCCAAGCTATACTTTATTTTGTGACATCAACGATCTCAAACTATACTCTTCGTGACTCACTTACTCTAAACTTTTTCTTGTGACATAAAAAACTCTAAACTTGTACTTATATGATATTTACTCTCCATTAATGTTCCATCAGATGATTTTTTCTTAAGCCACATGTGCGCCGTGTGTCAACACCGTTTGCTTTCCAAAGTCCATATAGACAGATTTTTAACGGTTCTTATTGACGGAATTTTGACTGGAGTAAATATGTCACGCAAATACAAATTTTAGATAAATATATCACATTAGACATAATTTAGATATATTTTTGGGTGGCTTTTGCCCTATTTCTTGTACCATTATGCCTGGTCGGCAGGTCATGACTCACGAGCAGCAGAGGATCTCGCTTTTCATGAATTTAAATTCCCTCGTGGTGCAACTCTATGAAACACGCCTTCGTCCCTGTCAGCTTTCAATTCGATTCCCCAGAGCTCACGCAAAGGAGGAACCCTCCGCCACGAAGCAAAGATGAAGAAGACGAGCGGTGACCCCATGCTCATCCCGGACGACCTGCTGATCGAGATTCTCAAGAGACTGCCCGTCAAGTCTCTGTGCAGATTCAGGTGCGTCTCCACCGCCTGGCGCTCCCTCGTCTCCAACCCGCGATTCGTCGACGCGCATTTGGCTCACTCCGTGAACCGCCCCGGGCTCCTCGTCACTCTGCCGGTCCGGCAAATTCCCTGCCCACAAGGGCGGTGGCTCTTGTTGGCCGACCACCCTGAACCTGGAAGGGACCGACCCCAGATCGCCATTCCGCACTTGCTCGTCCCCGGCTCGCCCGAACGCTACGTTTCGCAGTCTCTCAACGGCCTGATCTGCCTCGAAGTCGGGGGTCTGATCAGTGTCTGCAATCCCAGCACTAGAAAAGTTGTTACTTTGGGACAGGCTGGGGCAAAGAGTGGCGGGGTCTGTTCATATCGGAGGCATTCGTTCGGGTTCGATCCTGTCGGGAAGGAGCACAAGGTCTTCAAGACATGGGTGACTAATTCAGGCAAGCCCGACCGCGGGTTGATCATGGAGCAATTTGTGCTCACTCTGGGATCGAACGGGTGGAGGAGGATCGAGGGTGGTCCCCCTCATGTCAAGCATGACCCGGAAATTTGCTTCAATGGGGTCATATATTACATGGCCTGGAAGAGCTTGGGTGCCTTCCCTAGGGCGGAGTACTTGGTGGCACTCGACGTCAGGACAGAGTGCTTTCGAATGATCGCGAGTCCTAGTGGCGGCCAAGTAGATATGAGCAAGAGGTGCCTCGTAGAATTTGAGGGGTACGTCGCATTGGTCGATTGCAATAATCTTAGGTCTGATGATGAGGTCGCTATATGGATCTTGGAGGACTTCGACAAGGAGATCTGGAAGAAGAAAGTTGCCGTCTTGCCACCGTGTTGGAAGGAAATTGTTGCAGACCATGAAATGTTCCCAGCTGGTATCGTTCGCAGTACTGGTGAACTGTTGTTCGAACCCTGGTTCTTGTCGAAGCCTGTGTGCTTGTTTTACTACAATCTGAAGACCAACAGTTTTAGGATTAGCGAAATTGGCGGATTCCCCGAATATGAATCAGGGATGCCTCCTGAAATGTATGGTTTAACGTTTACTGATCACGTGGAGAGTTTGCTGCCGCTGATGAGTCCATTCCAGTAAAAACATAGCCAACCATTTTCCTTCAGGCTGAGCTCTGATTTGTCACTTGTTCATCCGTTGGTTCTGCAATTTCTCCCTTTATACTGTCTACATCACTAGATTCCGTAAATGGAAGATGAACTCCGTAGTTTGATGTTGACTCTCTGTTTTGATAAACCTGCAACTGGATGTACATTGAGACACCAGGTGACTGAAACTTGAATTGTTTTCCATCTATGAAACAGGCTGATAACTCGCGTAATCTCGTTGTTTTTTGCTTCATTGAGTGGCATATGTAAGAGCATAGATTTTGTTCTCTGAATTGGGAGCTTTCATGTGAAATGTACCTATCAGCCTTGAATAACATGTCTAAGAGCTTCCATCTTGCTCCCTGAATTTGCAGCTTTCTTGTGTAAAATACCCATCAGCCTTGCTTGTAGTTGAGAAGTGTTGCCCTCCATCCTGGTGTGTCTTTTTGTGTGTGTGTGTGTGTCTGTTTGAGAAGCAGGCAGTTTAACTCTCTTACAGTAGGCATTGTGTGTGTCTGTGTGTGTCTTACAGTACGCATTGTTGGTTTCAAGGGAAAAGCAACTCATGCACGCATAATACATTGGCAATTTCTCAATCTTTTGTCTTTCAAGTGATCTACCAACTAAAGTTTTGAGGAATCTAAATTGAAGTTTTCTTAAAAGATCGGATTTTATGTTCGTACGTCCTCCTATTGGGTTTTTCCCCAAAAAGTGGCCCCGACTTTCATCCAGGAGGACGATTTGGCCCCAATTGCATCTCATAAAGAACCCTCAACGTTCATCAGAAGGACAAATTTGGCTAATGTTAGAGTTGTCGTTAGACTTTGCATGCGACGTCTGATTTGTCCAAAGGTGGATCAGTTGCCAACGACAGCCGCCCTGTCAGCCAAAACGATCAACCAAGCCCAAGCAAAACGACACTGTGTCCTCCCCTCCCTTCATCGAAACAACGTCGTCCGGCAATTCAGCACCTGGCGCCTCTGTATTCCAGGTTAGAGCTCTAGGGCCTTAAAACAAAATCAAATTGAGATAGAGGGGGAGACGATTGGATGATTTAGCGTGCGCCTCCACTCGTTTCATTGCTTGAAGAAATCACACATCTTCCATCTCTCACTGCTTCAACATATGATCTGTGACGTATCGCATTTTTTTATATCGATTCCCTTCTTTCGTATTGTTTGCTTCCAGATGGAGGGCAATTTCACTGTACATTTTAACTCGGGTGGAATAATAGAGTTTGGTGAGGATGCCAAGTACACTGGTAACATCGAACAGCAATTAAACAACTTGGACGTCCTATGGATATATAGTGCGGATAGAATGGCTCACCGGATTCCTGGATTGAGCTTAAAGGAAGGATCTGTTTGGATAAGATCAGCAGATCGGGCGTTGGACTTGCAGGGTCTAGTAGCAGCAGTAAGCTTTTATTGATGTGTTTGTTGAAGGGCAAATTCATGCCAAATGTTATCGAAAAAACATCGCCGATGATGAGTGTCGCGACCTAAAAAATTTCTCTCAGGCTAATGGATTGTTAAGACTAAGCCTAACTCGGGCCCTCCCAAACCCTACCAATTCGCAACTTAGGGTTTAAATTTTTAACATGCAAAAGTTTTCATGCTTGGAGTCGCCACTAATCAATTTATGGTAGGTTGATTAGAAACCTAAATAAAACATAGGGAGATATGTTTTATTTCTACGAACCAGAGATTCTAAGCCCGGGGACTTGATTACGCTAGATCTGGTCTAACGCCCTTTCGGTACCTTTTCTTTTCAAAAATGTTTTGGCAGGCAGTTTGGATCCATTTCAACTTAGTTACTAACATGTGAGGTGTTCATGCGGGTGCGCAAACCACCAATTTAACACCCAGAAAGCATTAAATAAATTGCAAGTTTGGAAGAATTATTTACCTGGAAGCAACGTAAGCATCTGCATTGTTAGCTAGAAAATCACATTGACACCCTAATATGATTTCTAATTAACAAGCAATTCACTCAATTTCTTTTTTTGGATTTTCACTTATTTAAATGAAATCTAGCCTATATGCAATGACATGCGAAAATGACATGCGATTAATGCAACCTAGCATGCAAACTATATGTCGTGCGACGACGTGACCTATTTCTAATGACAAGACGAATGATTATTTTTGGTATTTTCTCAATTTAAATTCGGAATAATAAAAATGCCTAAGTTAACATGCAAACTATGATGACTTAATCTACCCTAGCATGATTTCTTTTTAGGATTTTGTTAAAATTCGAAATAATAAAATAACCTGAATAATCTATTAAGATTAGAATATTACTTAATTTAAACTAGGAAATAGATCATCTCAAGTCCTAATTTAAATTAAATAACTACTCTATCTTCTAGATATATTTAGGACTCCTAGACATGCAAAAACTCTAATTCAAATCTAATTAATATTTTTTTTGAATTTTCTGTTTATTTGATAAAGGAAAGCAATTAAATAAACAAGGATAGCAACCACATTCAAAACGTCCACGCGATCCGCCATATTTGTTTCAAACTCGGATTAGGCACAAAAATCAAACTATCGGTCATATCTATAGGGTTATAGATATCGACGGAAAGCCGATTATTCAAATTTGGAAAGCGGATAAAAATCATTATCGTACCCAAGTGGTTATGGATAGGATAATAATTTTCCATATCGCCGCGTATCGAACCTTAGGGATAAGGTCGGATAGTCGTCAGGATACGTTGCTAAATTAGGAAGTTTTCCTAATTTTGAATATTTAAAAATATTGCGGATATATCGAACATTATCCTAAGATATCTAAATATCCACATGATATTCACGAAATATTCAAACACCCATATTAGGAAATTAAATATTCTGAAAATATCGGATAATGTTGAATTACCTAATTTGCAGATAACTTCCAAATTTGAATCACCGGGATTGCGGATCGGGATCGAACTCGGACGACGGGCGACGCGGCGTTGGCGCGGTGGCTCACAGTGGCGTCCGGCGACGGCGAACGGACCAACGACGGTGGTGGTGCACGGTTTGGGATTGGTAGCTCGCAATGATGGTGCTCACGGGGCGTCTCGTGGCAAGGACACGCCGGGAATGACTCGCGGTTGGGCTTGACTGAACACAGCTAAGGATCTGCAAAGCTTCTCTAAGGTTGCTGAGCTAATGTCACCAAAGGTTCACTTGGATTGATGCAGGAGCGTTGGTTTGCTCTGGACAGCTTGGAACTCCACCAAATCTGGACAGCAGCGTCGGAAGCAACAAAGGGTAGCCAGACACGTCGGAGAACTCGTCGAGATTGCAAGAAGCTGCAGCAACGGCAGCGAAACTGGGCTGGACGCGAAGAAGGTTCTCCGGAAATCTGAGCGTGATGGACAGCAAACGCCAGAGCAGAAATTTGATGGGATGCTGATGAGGAGCTGGGCACGTCGGGCAAGGGCAAGACAGCGACCAGTGGTGGCTGCCTTTTTCTCTTTGTTGACTCTTGCTTTCTGACTTTCTCCCTCTCTTTGATTTTTCTTTCTCGCTTTTTGTGTGTGAATTGAAGCCGTGAATGTCAATGTGTGTATGGCCGCCTCTCTTCACGATTTTCTGTTTTTTTCTAAAAATCTGACCTAAACATGTTTATATAATGCTAACCTAGGTCAATTAGATGGGCTCTATAGTCCTAATGGGCTTAGGCTTGGGCTTAGATTTAATTTAATTTAAATGGGCTGATTTATCTTGGGCTTTTATTTAATTAAGCATAATGGGCTGAATTAAGCTCAAATTAAAACAACCGAGCCCGTTTGACTTGTAATTCCCGGCCCTTGCCTTCCGAGCGAGCCGAGTCTCGTTCGATGAAATTTTAAGCTCATTCGCCACTGCCAATCTGATGCAAAAATGCAATTAAATTAAATGGACCTAAACTATATGTTTATGCAATTTAAATATTTTTGTTTAGGGTTAAAAATTTAATCCCTAATTTTCTATGCAAATTACACTAAATGATACGCCAAAATTTAGGTGTCAAATGCCCTCTTTGAAGGTGAGCTCTGTAGAGGTTGCATTCAAAGACTAAATGATACCTAAATTTCAACCATGCAAATGCAATGAATGTTGTTTTTGTCGGGATTATGAGTCCCATTTTAAAATGTATTAAGAAATGATGTATGCTAACATGAGTAGAAAACATACATGGAATTACTTACCTGACAGGAGTGAGATAGCGCAATTCGAGGCACGACTCGGACTTTGTATGTTGTTTGGCAAATGTCTGGGCTCATTTCCATAGGTATTGCCTGATATACGTTGATGAACTTCGGTGATCTGCAGTTAAGTCAAAACACACGAAGAAAGCTCGACGTATCCAATCATCATCTGGATTCGTGAGAACAGTTCCGATCTTTACCAACTACCTATACATCTCCATGGGTGTTTGCAAAGATTTGGCCGCTTCACTTATACCTGCTCATAAGTGAATTGCGGGGAGAACTTTTGAAGTCAAGAGGATATTCCGACCTTTACATATACCTGCTCATATGCAAAGATTTGGCCGCCTCACTTATACCTGCTCATAAGCGAGTAGCGGGGGAACACCTGGGGTTGAAAAAATATTCCGACCTTTACATATACCTGCTCATATGCAAAGATTTGGCCGCTTCACCTATACCTGCTCATAGGCGAGTAGCGGGGGAATACCTGAGATTTGGGGAGAATTCCGACCTTTACATATATCTGCTCATATGCAAAGATTTGGCCGCCTCACCTATACCTGCTCATAGGTGAGTAACGGGGGAATACCTGAGATTTGGGGAGAATTCCGACCTTTACATATACCTGCTCATATGCAAAGATTTGGCCGTCTCACCTATACCTGCTCATAGGTGAGTAACGGGGGAATCTTCTCGAGATTGTATGAAAATCTGTGATTTGGTGAACAAAGGGGCTAGCCCAAGTGTTCAAGGGTTCCTTGACAAAGTACCTGGATATCATCAGAGGTACCTGAAAAAGCTTGATCAATAGACACCTAAACATCATTAAAGGCATCTAGAGATCGCAAAAATGATCAAATGTGGGTCCTGACGATTGCTCGAACAGGTTAGGGACACCTAGATAGTCATAGACATCCTAGGGATAGAGATATACTTACCTGGCGATATCTCCAACTCTGAAGGTGTCTCCTGTTAGACACGGATTTAAGTAACATGTAATATGCATTCGCACACTGTCAAGAACACATATACACATGCACTATGATTTTCAACTGATTTTCATGCACGATGGTTTTGTCAAATCGGTATTACAAACTCCGCTGGGGAACAATCATGACAAGACAATCCGAACTTACAAGTGGGTGTCTTGAAAATGCCAAATGAGGGA